ACCCTGGAGTCTGGGACCCCCAAGCCTCTTCTCCATCAGACCCTGGAGTCTGGGCCCCCCCAATGCCATTCTCCCTCAGACCCTGGAGTCTGGGGACCCCCAATGCCCTTCTCCCTCAGACCCTGCAGTCTGGGGACCCCCAATGCCCTTCTCCATCAGACCCTGCAGTCTAAGGGCCCCAACCCTCTTCTCCCTCAGACCCTGGAGTCTGACCCAACGTCTCCTTCTCCCTCAGAATCAGGATTCCAGCCTCCTCCACTTTCAGACCCAGGAATCCCAGCCCCCCAGCCCCCTCCTCCCTCAGACCCTGGGCTCTGGGTGCTTCGTCCCCTCTTACATCAAGATCCAAGAGCCCTGGACCTTCCCCCTGGCCCCTTAGCCCCCTCCCATCTCAGACCCAGGAATCTTGGCCCTCAACCTCTCCCTCCTCCCACTCAGGAGTCGTGACCCTCAGTCCCACCTCTTCCAGCTGCAGGAATCGCAGCTGCTGCCCCACCTGCCATTCCCATCCCTTCCTCCTGTTCCCCCAAGCCCACAAGTCCCGACTCCCAGCTGCAAGGACCCCTGATTGCATCATGCGCTCAAGCTGACCTGTCCACGGTGGAATCCAGGCTCCCGCCAAGTAGGTCAGATATCATGGGTCAGGTGTGGGGCTGGTGACTGGGCGGGTCTGTCTGGGTATAAATTCCGTGGCTTCGGTGTGCATCGCTAGAAACTGGGTGTCTAGTTGGCTGGGAGTCCACTAGCAAGGCATTTGGGGGTACTGGAGTAGCAGCCCGCGAGCCTCCTCTCCCTCCTGGACCACCAGGCTGTGACACCCCCCATCCTGAGACCTCGCCCAGGACAGGAGCTGTCAATGGGTTGCACCAAATCTGGGTGGAAGTCCCCGGGACTGTGGGTCCCTGTGCTGGCCAGCCTTCTGCTGGGAGGCTGCGGAGCACACCCCATCCCTGACTCCAGCCCCCTCCTCCAATTCGGGGGCCAAGTCCGGCAGCGATACCTCTATACGGATGACGCCCAGACCACCGAGGCCCACCTGGAGATCAGAGCGGATGGCACAGTGGGGGGCGTCGCCCACCAGAGCCCAGAGAGTGAGTACCAGGCAGGGGACTGGCCTTCGGGTGGGGAGCTGGACGGGAGTCCTGGGTTCTTGGAGGAGGGGCTGGACCTCCATTCCCAGGTCTGAGGGAGGAGAGGCTGGGGGCCTGGACTCCGGGGTCTGAGGGAAGAGGGGCTGGGCTTGGGGGCTGCTGGTCTGAGGGGCTAGGTTTGGGAGTTCTGGTCTGATGGAGGAAGGGGTACATTTGGGGGCTCCAAGTCAGGCTGCTGGCCACGACACTAGGTCGGCAGTTCGAAACCACCCGTCGGTCCGTGGGAGAAAAGATAGGCCGTCCTTCTCCCATGAAGAGTGAGTCTGGGAATCTCATGGGGGCAGTTCTACCCTGTCCTTTAGGGGTCCCTGTGAGTCAGAATGAACTCAATGGCAATGAGTTTGGTGGGGGGGGGGTCTTTTCTTTTTTTGGTCTGAAGGATGGAGGGGCTGAGGGGTAGGAGCTCCTGCGTCTGAAGCAGAAAGGACTAGATTTGGGGTTCCTGGTCTGATGCAAGAGAGGCTGGGTTTGGAGCTCCTGGTCTGAGGGAGGAGGGGCTGGGTTTGGTGGGATCCTGGTCTGAGGGAGGAGAGGCTGGGGGCCTGGACTGCGGGGTCTGAAGGAGAAAGGACTATGTTTGGGAATCCTGGTGTGATGGGAGAGGGGCTGGGTTTGGGGCTCCTGGTCTGAGGGAAGAGGGCTTGGCAAGGCCCTCTAAGACTCTGGCCACTTTTTCCACGCAGGCCTCTTGGAGCTGAAAGCCTTGAAGCCCGGCATCATTCAGATCTTGGGAGTCACGACCTCCCGCTTCCTGTGCCAAGGGCCTGATGGGGTGCTGTACGGATCGGTGAGTGTCTGGGCTGCCGCCCCCTCTTCCGAGAAGCCACCCTGCTTGCACCCCACGGGCTGGGCGGTGTTGTGACCTGGTTTGTGAGCCGAGGCCCCTGAAGCCCAGGCAGGGATCCCCGTGTTCCCCAAAGCACGGGCTGGGTGAATGGTAGAGGCGGACACTGTGGCCCTATGACCCTGCCCCTGACCACGCAGGCCACCGTGGGGCGGGCTCGTGCCCGGTGTGGGGACACTCAGCCTTTCCCGTGGCCTGTGAAGTGACTCTGGCCTTGGGTGGTAGCCAGATCCTCTGCCCGGCCTCAAGGAGTCCTGACTGGACCTTTGGGCTGGAACCTTCTCTGGGAAGAAGGAGGTGGGCCCTGCAGGACAGTCCAGGAGGAGAGGGGGGACCTGTGGCTGTTACTGGATTCTTCTCAAGAGGGGGCGACTGGGTTAGGGCACTGAAAGAGGAGGGGGGCAGAGACAAGCAGACTTGGGTCTGAGGGTGGAGGGACTGGGGATGAGGGTGGGGGGGGGGGCTGTCTTCCTGGGCCCCAGCAGCAGGAGGGAGCTGAGGAGTCCCATTCTCTCTGATAATCCCTGTTCCTTGTCTCCCAACCAGCTCCATTTCGACCCAGCCGCCTGCAGCTTCCGGGAGAAGCTTCTAGAAGACGGATACAACGTGTACCACTCTGAGACCCACGGCCTCCCCCTCCGCCTCCCACCCCGTGGGGGCGACCCCTCTTCTCAGACCTGGGCCGCCCGCTTCCTGCCGCTGCCGGGCCAGCTCCCACAACTCCAAGAGACGCCAGGGGTCCTCGCCCCCGAACCCCCCGACGTGGGCTCTTCAGACCCCCTGAGCATGGTGGGGCCTTGGCGAGGGCAAAGTCCCAGTTATGCCTCCTGAAGGCACCCGTGGGTTCTGACCCTGACCCCCACTGTTTATTTATTGGGTTATTTATGTTATTTATTTTTTTATTCCCTCCCCCACCCCTTTTTTTATTTGGGATAATAAAGAATTGGGAGAGAGGACAACCGGTGTGAACTCTTGGGGGAGTGAGGGGTCCGAGGGAAGGCATCCCACCTGCTGCAGTTGCTCTCCAGCCTTGAGGACATCCCAGCCTCCCCCCTGGGGTTACCTGTTCTGCACCCGGTGACACTTCCACCTCTTCCCGCCCCCCCCCCCCCCCCCAGGCACTCTGGACTTGTCCTGCTCTTTGATGGGACAGGGTTGAAGACTCCCGGCACGTCTTTGTGTTGTGGAGCTATGTGTCTCAGTTCTATGTGTCTCAGTTCTCCTAGTGTGGCACTGCAAAGCCAAGCTGTTAGGTAGCTAGATGTAGGGACAGGGGGGCGGGGTTTGTCCCTCCCATGCCTGCAAAGGCCCCCATAGAGGAGGTTGGAAAGATATCAGGCACACCAATTGGACACCCAAGGGAGGACCCAAACTGAGCATGTACAGACTAGGACCCCCTAGGCCAGGGGTTCTCAACCTGTGGGTCGCGACCCCTTTGGGGCTCGAACGACCCTTTCACAGGGGTCAGCTAAGACCATCGGAAAAACACCTATTTCCGATCCTCTGTCCGTCTCCAGGCCGGTCTGTCCACATGCAGCTATGCCCACAGGCCAGTCCCCGGCGTGAAGACTGTGACCCATGCTACACCATGCTTCAAGACACACTTTCATTGATTTGTCATTAGAAATAACTATTTCACAATAGAAAATGCCATATTGTTTTTGTGATGAATCACTATGCTTTAATGATGTTCAATTTGTAACAATGAAAATACATCCTGCCTACCAGATATTTACATGACCATTCATCACAGTAGCAACATGACAGTGATGAAGTAGCAACGAAAATAATTTTATGGTTGGCGGGGTCACCACAACATGACTGTCTTAGAGGGTCGTGGCATGAGGAAGCTTGAGAACCACTGCCCCAGGCCCAGGTGAAACCAATACCTGAGGCACACCTACCTCAGGTACCAGCAAATGACATCACACAGGTGGGCCTAACTCAGCCAGTGAGGTCAACCTTCAACCATGCTTCCTCTGGCATTTTTCATGGTCAGATTGGGAAGGAAGGGAGGAAAGAGATTCGAACTACACTTCCCATGAGTCACCCAGCCGGGGTCTCAGGTGTCTGATTAGCATGGCCTCATGGGAGTTGTAGTCTCAAAGGCTTCGTTTCTCCCCAAGGTTCAATGGAGGGAAGTATTCATTAAAAGGATAAGTATGGATCCCCAATGGGTCATGCCCGGGAGACAGGAAAGCCTGTCATCTTCTGAAAAGTGTGGTCTCCCACCCTGATGGAAGGCTCATGAGCTCCGTGAAGGGGTTGGGGTTCACGTTGGGTGAGAGGAAACCAGCCTCCAACCACCAGAAGGCCCAACTCTGGCAATGGTACCCAAAGAGGATAGTAAAGTCATCGGGGATAAGAGAGACAGGAGAGAGAAAAAAAAAGAGAGAGACAGGAGAGAGTAAAAGAAAGGAGTCAGACACATTTTATGGCAGCATGCTCACCTTATCTCCTCTTGAAGGACCACGTGGAACTGGGAGAAGAGAGAGTGAACCTTTACTATCTCAGGACATTGATAGGTAGCCTTGAGATATGCATCTTCAGTAGCTACATGCGTCACAAGGTGGGTGGTATCTACAGTAAGGTCCCTGAGCTCACAGGTGAGGAAACTTAATACCTGTGTTGGGGGAGGGCACAAGGGGGGGTTGGATGTCATGGTGGGAAGAGAGAACAAAAGGGTCGCGTCTGCTTCTTTTTTCTTTTTTTAAGCAAAAGGGAAGAAATGTGTTGGAGCCCATATGGGAAGCCCTAGAGGGGCCCAGCATCCCCTACTGTGCAGGCATGCCCAGCAAAGGGTCACCCCATTCACTGTACCCCATGTCCCAGAGGGGCTCCCCTGAGCCGAGCCCCAAAGCGCAGGACTGGCTGGGGGTGGGATGTTTGCTTCTATAGTAAAAGCTACCGGCTATATAGCAATCAGCCATGTGCTTGGAAGAGGTAGCTTTAAGGTAGCAGTATGATGGGAGGCTACAGCGGGGAACAAATTAGGTCAAGCACATTTGTACATATGTTGCCATCATCCTTTCCAAACATTTTATTTCTACTTGAGCCTTTGGTATCAGCTCACCCCCCCTCTGTACCCTCTCCCTCATGAACCCTTGATAAATTATAAATTATTATTTTCATATCGTCCACCGTCCGCTGTCTCCCTTCACCCCTGAAAAATATTTTAATTCTAATTTTCTCTTTTTCAGGTTTATCGGCACATAATTCACATCATATACTTGAATCAGTCAATGGTGTCAAGAATGTGGACAAGCATTGCCACATTCCGTTTTAGAACATCCCCCCCCTCCCCAGCACCTTGATTAATCACCTGCACCTTGAGAGTGAGCTGTGATCACATTCCGTTCTAGTGCTTCCGCCCCGTGGGCATCTGTCCTGAAGACGCCTTTCACCCGGACTTTCTCCCGGGAAGCTGTCGGGTTCAAGTTGGTGACCTTCCATCTAGCAGGAGAGCATTGAACTGTTGAACCCCTGGGGGCTGCTGAGATCAATCCTAGAACCTTAGGACTCCAGACCTGGGGTGACTCTGGGGTCAGGTCAGAGGGGCTTCCCTTGTGATAATGATCTTCTGTTGTCCAGGTCAGATGGCCCTCATCCCACAGTGCCGCCTCGCACTCACCTGATAGTGATCTCCTGATAGGGACCCACCTTCAGGGGACAGGGACTGAGTTTTTATTAAGTCATAAGACTCCCAGGAAAGACTGGATATGGAAGCTCCAGGAGCTGACCATATACCCTAACCTCCTCCTAGGTGCCCCTTCATTTGTAGCTCCCTCAGCCCCGTTCTCAATGTCTGTCTCTCCTCTTTCTCCTCTCCCCATCACCTCCTCTCTCACACACACTCACTCACTTGCTAGCTCAGTCGTGGGCACTCTCACACCCAGTCAAGCTGGGGTGGCATAGAGAACACTTTCCGTTAGTTCTGTGAATGGATACCCAAGGGGGCAGTGGAAACTGGCAGGGAAGAAGCGAGTGAGCCCAGAGGCCCTGCCAAGCTTGAACCTGGCATCTTGAAGTAGAGGGGAGCCCTTAATTTCTAGCCAATAGGTCAGAAGGGAGGGTGTCCTGGGGTCGTTTTAGCAGTCTGAAGGACAGCGCTCGTCTAACTTGTGAGTTCTGACCTAGTTCTGGGGAGCAGCACTCCTACAAAAGAGAGCTGCCCAGGTGGCCCTGTCAGCACCGAACGGTGAAGGTAAAATTGAGGAGAATAGTGAGGGAAGTCGGGCGAGGACCCTAGTCCCTAACTGATCACAGAGGGAATCTGGAAAGCTGGAATTCCACGGGAGGAAAGTCTCCACTTTGTAAGTTAGAGGTAAAGTCCAAGTGCATGATCCTGCTTTAAAGATGGTTCTCCCAGATTCTCCCCAAACGTATGCTGCCTTAAAGTGAGCACTAGCTCTTCTCCGCTGTGTCACCCAGCCCCCCTCCTACCTTCCCCCCAATGCAGGTATTAGATTTCTTCACCTGTGAGCTCAGGGACCTTACTGTAGATTCCACCCACCTTGCGACACTTGTAACCACTGAATATGCATGACTTATGGCGACCTATAAATGTCCCAATACAGTACAGAAGCTGTCTTCTCCCAGTTCCGCATGGTCCATCAAGAGGAGCTGAGGTGAGCATGCCACTATGAAATGTGTCTGACTCCTTTATCTTACGCTCTCCTATCTTTCCTATCCCCTATGACTTTACCATAATCTTTATATATTATCACC